GTAGGGGTGCTGATCTGTTCCTTTGCCAGCAAGAAGAAAGAACGAAGAACGGAGACTAACAAAATGGGGCCGCTGATCTGGTCTTTCAGTTCAAAACGAGAAACGGACGCTAGCAAAATGGGGCTGCTGATCTGTTCGGTTGCCAGCAACAAGAAAGAACGAGGAACGGAGACTAACAAAATGGGGCTGCTGATCTGGTCATTCAGTTCACAGCAGGAAAACGGAGACTAACAAAATGGGGCTGTTGACCTGCTCAGTTGCCAGGCAAAAGAAAGAACGAGGAACGAAAGGTAACAAAATAGGGGTGCTGATCTGTTCACTTGCCAGCAAGAAGAAAGAACGAAGAACGGAGACTAACAAAATGGGGCCGCTGATCTGGTCTTTCAGTTCAAAACAGGCAACAGGTCCAAAGGCAACAGCAAAGGCAACAGGTCCAAAGGCAACAGGTCCAAAGGCAACAGGTCCAAAGGCAACAGGTCAATAGATAATTGAATTAATTGAATTAATTGAATTAGCGAAAGAGGCTTTTTCGAATTCAATTAATTCAATTAATCCAATTAATTGAATTAATGCAATTAATTGAATTAATTGAATTAATTGAATTAATTGAATTAGCGAAAGAGGATTTTCGAATTCAATTAATTCAATTAATTCAATGATGTGGGGTTCCCTAATCGAAATCCGGATTTCCCGCGTATTGAATTAATTCAATTAATTCAATTAATTCAATTAATTCAATTAATTCAATTAATTGAATTAATTGAATTAATTGAATTAGCGAAGGAGGCTTTTCGAATTCAATTAATTCAATTAATTCAATTAATTGAATTAATTGAATTAATTGAATTAATTGAATTAATTGAATTAATTGAATTAATTCAATAGGGGGGAAATCTTTGTTTTGAAAAAAAGAAATAGATAATTGAATTAATTGAATTAATTGAATTAGCGAAAGAGGCTTTTTCGAATTCAATTAATTCAATTAATCCAATTAATTGAATTAATTGAATTAATTGAATTAGCGAAAGAGGTTTTTCGAATTCAATTAATGCAATTAATTCAATTATGTGGGGTTCCCTAATCGAAATCCGGATTTCCCGCGTATTGAATTAATTCAATTAATTCAATTAATTCAATTAATTCAATTAATTCAATTAATTGAATTAATTGAATTACTTGAATTAGCGAAGGAGGCTTTTCGAATTCAATTAATTCAATTAATTCAATTAATTGAATTAATTGAATTAATTGAATTAATTGAATTAATTGAATTAATTGAATTAATTCAATAGAGGGGAAATCCTGTTTTTGAAAAAAGAAATAGATAATTGAATTAATTGAATTGAATTGAATTAGCGAAAGAGGCTTTTTCGAATTCAATTAATTCAATTAATCCAATTAATTGAATTAATGAATGAATTGAATTAATTGAATTAGCGAAAGAGGTTTTTCGAATTTCAATTAATTCAATTAATTCAATTATGTGGGGTTCCCTAATCGAAATCCGGATTTCCCGCGTATTGAATTAATTCAATTAATTCAATAATTCAATTAATTCAATTAATCCAATTAATTGAATTAATTGAATTAATTGAATTAATTGAATTAGCGAAAGGAGGCTTTTCGAATTCAATTAATTCAATTAATTCAATTAATTGAATTAATTGAATTAATTGAATTAATTGAATTAATTCAATAGAGGGGAAATCTTTGTTTTGAAAAAAAAATAGATAATTGAATTAATTGAATTATTGAATTAATTGAATTAGCGAAAGATGCTTTTCGAATTCAATTAATTCAATTAATCCAATTAATTGAATTAATTGAATTAATTGAATTAGCGAAAGAGGTTTTTCGAATTCAATTAATTCAATTAATTCAATTATGTGGGGTTCCCTAATCGAAATCCGGATTTCCCGCGTATTGAATTAATTCAATTAATTCAATTAATTCAATTAATTCAATTAATTCAATTAATTCAATTAATTGAATTAATTGAATTAGCGAAGGAGGCTTTTCGAATTCAATTAATTCAATTAATTCAATTAATTGAATTAATTGAATTAATTGAATTAATTGAATTAATTGAATTAATTGAATTAATTCAATAGGGGGGAAATCTTTGTTTTGAAAAAAAGAAATAGATAATTGAATTAATTGAATTAATTGAATTAGCGAAAGAGGCTTTTTCGAATTCAATTAATTCAATTAATCCAATTAATTGAATTAATTGAATGAATTGAATTAATTGAATTAGCGAAAGAGGTTTTTCGAATTCAATTAATTCAATTAATTCAATTATGTGGGGTTCCCTAATCGAAATCCGGATTTCCCGCGTATTGAATTAATTCAATTAATTCAACTAATTCAATTAATTCAATTAATTCAATTAATTGAATTAATTGAATTAATTGAATTAATTGAATTAGCGAAGGAGGCTTTTCGAATTCAATTAATTCAATTAATTCAATTAATTCAATTAATTGAATTAATTGAATTAATTGAATTAATTGAATTACTTGAATTAATTCAATAGAGGGGAAATCTTTGTTTTCAAAAAAGAAGTAGATAATTGAATTAATTGAATTAATTGAATTAGCGAAAGAGGCTTTTCGAATTCAATTAATTCAATTAATCCAATTAATTGAATTAATTGAATTAATTGAATTAGCGAAAGAGGTTTTTCGAATTCAATTACTTGAATGAATTAAATTAATTAAATTAATTAAATTAATTAAATTAATTCAATTAATTCAATTAATTAAATTAATCAAATTAATTAAATTAATTAAATAGAAGGCAAGCAAGAGGATACGCAAAATAGACCCGAAAGGGCTCTCTCACATATATATATATAGATATAGATATAGATATAGATATATCAATATAAATATAAATATGAATATAAATATAAATAAATATATATATATATATATACAACTATGAATATATCTATGGATATGGTACCCCCCCCCCCCCCCCAAAGATCTACTGTTTTACCATCTTTTTAACAATGAAACAATATCCGCCTGCTTCATAGTGAAGTTTCATCTGCCTCACAATGAACATGCCCACGACATCTTACCGAGACATCTTGGAATCTCAACTCTCGGATCCCGGCCGATTCAATTGAATCGGAAACGAATCAACTGAATCGGCCGACCTCCAAGATCCAGGATCCAAGATTTTCCCAGGACTCTTGCCGAGACATCTTGGAATCTCAGTTCTTTGATCCCGGCCGATGCAATTGAATCGGAAGCGTTTCAATTGAATCGGCCGGGATCCAAGATTTGAGATTCCAAGATGACTCGGCAAGAGTCCTGGGAAATCTTGGATCTTTAAACTTGGATCCCGGCCGATTCAATTGAAACGTTTCTGATTCAATTGAATCGGCCGGGATCCGGGATTTGAGAGTCCAAGATGTCTCGGCAAGATCCTGGGATATCTTGGATCTTGGGTCCCGGCCGACTCAACTAAGTCGGAGACGTTTCAATTGAAACGGCCGGGTTTGGCAATCAAACCTCAACCTTAACAATACATGCGACATTTATCCAGCTGAGCCTGTCCTTGTCGCCTTGTACTCTGAATGCCTGAAAGCACATGCAAAATTTGTCCAGCTGAGCTTGTCCTCGTAGTCTTGTGCTCTCAAGAGCGTCTTCTGGGATGTTTGGGTTGTAGCCTGCCTGTGCCCCATGACTAACATCAAGGTTGAGGGCCTAGTCACGTTCGATCGTGGCGACGCGGTGCTACGTCTCACGCCGCAGACGGTGGCTTACTCTACAGCAGCGAGTTCCTCAAGGGATGTTGCTCCGATGCAGGAGGCGAGGGCAGCAACACCCGTCTCGTCGCGTACTCCTTTGTGGTCACCTTCGACATCACGAACCGACGACATGATCTTGGAGGCGATTAACAGCCCACAGATGCCAGCTGAGCCAGACAGACCTCCTTCCTGGTGCGTTTTGCGTGGCAAGGACGTGTACATACGCATTTGGGGTGGCTACGATATGGACGCGTTGCTCCCAAACCGACTGCAGGAGATTTTCTGAGTCAGGTCATGATCCTGGGTTACGCTGTCACCCTGGCTGGCGCGATGACATACCCCAGGGTGTGTGGAATCACCAAGAGTTCGAGGCCACTGTCAATAAGTTGTTGACAGCTCTCGCAGGAACGGAAATGCACCTCGTTCGACTGGGCTTTTTTTGGCAGGGCAGGTAGACGTCGATCAGTCGCTGTCTCATGGCTTATCGTACGTGCTGTAGGCGCGTCCTCATGCACAGTCGAGTTCTCTAGACAGTCAGACTCTTTGCGTTGGCAGTGCGAACGGTGTCAAGCTGGCACCGATGTCAAGAAGCAGCTAGGAGCTGATATTAAAGAGTATGCTAGATCGCGCGTACTCAAAGTGTGACGTGTGACCGACGCCCATGAAAACAAAGCCACCTGTTCAGCATTTGAGCCGCCCTTGTAGATTCAGGTTTGTCTGTGGAGTTGGATAGGTTTTGTTGCCGGTCCAGAGTGTAGATAAGCATGCAAGGCAGAGTGTATATTGTTTCATTTGTATGTTCATTTCTTTAGGAATCCGAAGGATGATGTGCGACAATGTTCCGGATTCGTGGAAGACGCTATGCCCTAAACCCAAAACCCTACATCACCCTAAACCCTAATCGAGGGAGGGCTTAATTGCCGGTTCAGTGTTTAGGGTTGATGCAGGATCGGTTCTGGATAGTAAAAGTATGTAAAAATGGTAGATCTCCTGGGGGGAGGACGCATATATATGTATATATGTATGTGTATGAATATAAACATATACATATGTGCACTTTCAGATTTTGTTTCGTAAGTTTAGCTTCAGGCATGTTACTGTTTTAAGAGCTCGTGAGAACGATGGGCTTGTTGTCACCTAGTGCTTGCTTGCAAAGCTTTTCGGGCCCCTGAAGAGTTTATACACGGGGTCTATAGCGTTTGGGGTTGTTAAGTCCTGGAGCCCGGAACTTCCCGACAAGGATGTGGCATCGGGACCTGCAAAGAGACTTTGCCTTGGCGTCCTTGGCGAAGGTCGGTTTTGAGAGTTTTTCGTTGCTTCGAATCGTATGTTCTTTAAGGTGGTAAGGTGGTTTGTAGTTAAGCACAGAGTCCAGGAGGTGGGGTTCAGGATGTGTAGGCGTGACCTCGTAGTAGCGGCCCTTGCTCGCGAGTCGCTTATAGAACGTGAAGCCCTAAACCTTCTCCGCCCATCCCGAATCTCAAAAAGCACGGTTCCCCTCAACCTTCGCCTTATGAACCCGAAACTACCGTAAACACGAAACCCCTAAACCCCATCAATCAGTGAAGGTGGAGATGCGCTACCCCTTCCTGGACTCCGACTTGCTGGACGTCGCACTGCGCCTCCCCGCCGCGCGGGAGCTGCCGCCAGCCGGCTTGAGCTGCCGCGACGCGGTCGCGCAGAGCCTTGGCCACTGGAATTTAAAATATGTTGGGGGGCTAAAGGGTTTGCATGGTTTAAGGTTACAACCACTAGAATCAAAAATATGTTGGGGTTTACAGGGTTTGCATGGTTTAAGGTTACAATCCAGAACCATAGGTGTGCGCGACCAATTTTTGGGGGTTCGAGTCCGAAGGAGTGTCCCGGGCGAGCTGGCGGCGGATGGCGGCAAGGGGGCACTCCGGGCGGTGGCCCGGAGTTTGGGGGCTCCCAAGATCATCGCCGACCGCCGGAAGCGGGCCGCGCAGTAGCCTGGAAACCAAGTAATGAACCCCCCCAACTTGGCAGTCATAGACCCAAGGCTAGTATTATATAATGTTGTACGAACCATAGGCCCTCATGTGAACCATACACGTTTGTATGGGGTTCGTGTGGTCTACAAGGTATGGGTCTCGGGTGTACAACGCACTGAAGATTTTGGCGAACGATGCGGCCAAGCAGCGCGATCAGAGTGTTGGTGCTTGGACTCCGTATCATCAGGCAGATTTTGTGATGTCCGTGCCCGGGGCATCGCACTCTCCAGTGGCTTTGCTGTTGACAAGCGGGTATCACAGCATTCAGGTATACTGCCTCTTGAAAAGCTGGCGCTTTGACATTGCTTGCATTGTGGCGCCAGTGGAAGAGGCGGGCCAAGGGGCTCTGAGCTGGGCGGCTGCCTTTGCAGCCTCCGTCCAGCTTCCGCTCCTCGAGATGCGAGTGGCCTTCTCCACTCCTGGCTATGACATGGAGTCGCTGGTGGCTGCGCTGAGATCGGCACGCGACCAGTACGGTGTAGAAGGGGCGGCCTGTGGCCACGTCTGCGACCTGGACCTTTGGGGCGGCGTTGCTGCAGCCTGCGACCTCACTGGCTTGCGTGCCTATGCCCCTGAGTGGGGATGCTGTTCGGAGGAGCAATCCAGCATGCGCCGGCTGGTCCATGACGGAGCTGTCCTCCAGATTACCAAGTTTCCCGACCCGGCTTTCCTGGGTTGTACGATTGCCACACCTGAGGAGGCAGATGAAGTGCTATCACTTTTGCGGTGCATATGTGGGTCTGATGCGACAGACGACACCGACGCAGGTTACGTTGACTGTGAGTTTGTCTCAAACCGCTTCCTGCCCTGTGGCGTGCGTGAGATCAAAGGTTTCAGCGTAAGCGACAAAGTGCGCTCGCGGGAAAGCCCAGCCGATGAACATCATTCGGAAAATTGTTTGCGGGAGGGGCAAGTACAAGACTAGACCCCATCATTTTCATGCGCCTCATACCCTCGATTTGAGTTTTGAAGTTTGCAAGGTACACTGATACAACTGCTTCTTTTAGCCTTCCAAGCTGTCCCGGAAACCCGATCGTAGCCTACACGCAGACCTAAACCCTAAACCCTAAACCCTAATTGTAAACCCTAAACCCTAAACCCTAAACAGGGAACCCTGAGAATCTAAACTGACACCTTCAGGGCCTTAGGCCCGAAACCTTGACATCCTAAAGGGTCAAGCCCCAGGCCTAGGACCCTGAAGCCCCTAATCCTCAGGCCCTGAGCCTCAAATCTGAAAACCCTTAAACCCCAAACCCCAAACCCTAAACTTACCCTAAACCCTACAACCCCAAACCCTGCCAAAAAATCCAAAACCCTTAAACCCCAAACCCCAAACCCTAAACTTACCCTAAACCCTGCAACCCCAAACCCTGCCAAAAAATCCTATGAAGCTCTTTCAGCCCATGAGTTCTGCTGCCACGGCTTGTGGCTCAAGGCTAATGCCTGATTGGGTGTTTGGGCGCCCAGCCTTAGAAGAATGGCTCCGGGTGGAGGTTTCCTGGGGTTTGGAGGTTTCCTGGGGTTTGGGGGGACTTTAGAGGGGTGTCTGGGGGTTTAGGGTTGAGGGTTCAGGGTTGGTTTAGGGCTGGTTTAGGGGCTTCTAGAGGGGTGTTTGGGGTGTAGGGTGTAGAGTGTATAGGGTTCAGGGTTTAGGGGTTTAGGTAGGGTTTAGGGCTTAGGCCTTTATTTATTCTGGTTTGAGTTCCAACACTTCTGTCAAGCCGAGACATCCCCATCTGGTGCGCCTTGAAGTAGAGAATGTGTAGAGTCGTAATTAGGGTTTAGGGGTTCTTGTAGAATCAACAAACGTGACAGCACAGACCGTATCTCAAGAGGGACACCGCAGTGTTAGGCTGTGTTTCGGGCCCACACCACGTGAGTGGGGGCTTGGGAGCGGTGCCGGAAACCCTTTGAGCCCGAAACCCTGAGTAGAATGCAGGTTTAGGGTACTGGAGTTTATAGGGAAGCGCTTCTGCAAGAACTCCATTGTTAGACTACCCGGGCTTGGTCAGATTTCGCAAGTACCGGTACCATGACACGGCGGTTCGACTTAACGCAAGCGGACATATCGGAGCCTCAGAGTGTCTTGATCAGCTTAAGGCCCCACTTTTCCTCCTTTAGAAATCCTGGTGCCAGGGCAGCTGGAGCTACCAGAGGGCGGCCAGAGCCCAGCTCGCGGCAGCAGCAAGTCGGTGCGGCTTCCGGGGTAGTTTTGTTGTTGTTTGGGTGGGTTCAGGCGAATCCCCTCCCCCTAATACTAAACCCCCCCCCCCCCTACCCCCTAATATTAAAAACCCCCACTATACTGCAATATGACTATAGTGGGGGGTATTTAATATTAGGGGGTAGGGGGGGTTTAGTATTAGGGGGAGGGGACTAATCCCTAGCCCGTGACAGTTTCAGGGGCGGCTCTAGGGTTCATAGGGCCTAGGGTTTGGGGCAGGTGTAGGGTTCTACAGTAGGGCCCAGGGTTCTTTGATTGGGGGGTTTTTGAGGTTTTCGGGTGCCAGCTGTTATGGGCCCTAGGATTTTTAAGTTCAGGGAGAGTTTAGAGTGTCGGCTTCAATGCTACCGTCACGAACTACTCGTTCTTATATGGGAATCTGGAACCAGCAATCAAGGGATTAAATTTCAGGGTGGCGCCGAGTTCCTGCAAGGTTCGAAGGCGCTAAACCTCGAGGCCCTAAACCCCAAACCCCTAAAACCCCCCGAAAACCCCTAAACCCTTAACCCCCGAAACACTGAACCCCTAAACCCCGAACTGCTAAACCCTAAACCCCCCAAAACCCCTAAACCTTTCATGTCCTAAAGCACCAGCATTCGCCAGGGCCGCGTGCGCTCCAAGAATCCCGCGGCGGAGGCTCGCGTGGACCAGTTCCTGGAGAGGCAGAGCGAGCAGATGCCTTGGGAGATTCGTAGTTCTTGGGTTTAGGGCAAGGTCTCTGGGGTGTAGGTCGCAGGGTTGAGGGTTTAAAGGATTTCGCAGGGTTTCGGAAGCTTCTGGGCTTTATGCGGTTTGTCGTTCCTATGATTGCTTCTATCTAAAATCTGTTGTTGTTCTTGTTCCTGCTTATTCTGTGAAATACTAGAATCATTTCTGTCGTGACACATCTTTAATACTACCATTCCGCATTCCTATGCATGTTTTCTTCTTGCTCCTCATTCATAGAGAAGTCGGGTATAGTCGGGTACGGGGCGGCGTCAGTTGCATGGCTCTGCACGTGAGGGTTTTTGCGTGCGCCGAGTCTGGTCGAGGTGCCCTAAACCCTAAACCCTAAACCCTAAACCCTAAACCCTAAGCCCTAAACATATACGCCTGAAACTGCCTCACTAAACTCCATGCATGAACCCTTTCATCGGATCAACTCACGAAATCCTAGAGCACAGACCCTATCAACCCGGCAAGCCCTAGAGGCCGCATGAACCCTGCACCCCTACTTGAGCCCCACAGCTTGTAAGGCCGCACTTCGGAGCACGAAGGCCGTTTAGGGTTTAGGGTTTAGGGTTTAGGGTTTAGGGTTTAGGGTTTAGGGTTTAGGGTTTAGGGTTTAGGAAGCTGTTGACCTGTTGTGGTCACCAACAAAGGCCATCGAAGGCTGTGTGAACCGCGAGGTCGCGAGGACCACCCTCAAACCCCAAAACCTAAACCAGGGTACCTCCTAAACCCTAAACCCTAAACCCTAAACCCTAAACTGCTACAGCTGAGGCCCACCCCTCAGTACTTGATCCGCCGGGCGACCTCAAAAGTCCACCGGGAGCTGGTGGAAGTGGCCAGGACGGGCCTTCGCGGCTTAAGGTCAATAACGAGGGGTTTATAGGGTTTAGGGTTTAGGGTTTGGGGTTAAGGGTTTAGGGTTTAGGGTTTAGGGTTTATTGACATACCGAAGACCAACACCGAGGTCAAGGTAGGGGTAGGCCGACGGTTCAAAGCAAGTATATGTATGGATGTATCTATGCGTATTTTCTAAAGACATAGTATAGAAAATATATATATATATATACAGAAAACGTCATACTGCAGGCCCGAGTTTTCTGTACATGCCTTTTCGGGCTAAACAATGAGATGGATGGGTAGACGTCGGGAGGGTGGGCTGAGCAATGAGATAGATGGGTTCAAGTATGGAGTGTAGGCTGAACTACATCAGCTACGTTACCTTTAGCCTTTGGTCATAGAATCCTTACTCTGTGACTGGCTACAGAAGGGAGGGGAAAGGACACAGAAGGGAGGGGAAAGGACAACAAAAGGGGGGGGGGGTGGGGAAAGAAAAAAAGAAAAAAAAAAAAAAAAAAAAAAAAAGGGGGGGGGGGGAGGGGGGGGGGGGGGGGGGGGGAAAGAAAAAAAAAAAAAAAAAGGGAGGGGGGGAGGGGGGGGGGGGGGGGGCAAACGTTTTTTTTTTTTTTTTTTTTCTTCCCCCCCCCCCCCCCCCTCCCCCCCCCCTTTTTTTTTTTTTTTTTTCTTTTTTTTTTTTTTTCTTCCCCCCCCCCCCCCCTCCCCCCGCCCCCCTCCTTCTTCTTCTTCCCCTTATAAAATATGTGTGTTTACAATATGTATACAGAGAATCCTGCTATATGCTGTAACCTTTTTTTGTATCTGTATCTTTGCTTTTGCTTTCATCCGCACATCCATCGCAAGGTACGGTCCCCAACTCATCCAGCTCCATGCGCAGGGAGCGTCAGTATATACAGATATACTGAGTCAGATAAATATTATCTAGATACATATATGTACATATAAATTAGTAGTTTTACATATAATTACAATGTACTTTGAGAACTACGACTTAACGACGTACATGTTCTTTTGGTAGATAAGCATAAAAGACAAGATTTCTTCCATTATTTAACGATAATCTAGTGAGTTGCAGTGACTGTGACACACCCAGCACGGACTCATGCTTGTGTCAAACCCAACATCTTTTCCGGATAAACGACATATGTTGCTGAGAGAAGATCTGTTTATCGTGAAACGAAATCGACATAAATAAAGATACATATGTGATACTGTCTATTACGCACACACGTTTATACACACTTCATCCCTGATCGCATGTAGCAACTTTTCACACTCTATAGTGATCAAAACATGTAAACAGGCCCATGTTCGTCGTGGTCCTCGTGCCTGAGCATCGTGGCTGTCCCAGTCTTCAGGGTGTTGCCTGTCTCATCAGACTACTGATGTGTTGCTATATATGACCGCCAAGTAGAACTTGCTGAACTTTCGCATCAACTTTCATACCGTCATCATTTCTCCTCAAGAATAGTTCGGTAGGGACATCACTGGTGCTGTGATATCCTGGTACTTGTTTACTCGTCGAATATGAGCGAGCCGCCTGATGCGGCGTCGCGTGTCGGCGGTAGACCGTCTCCCGATGACTTAGAGAAGGACTTGGAGTCTCTCATGAACGAGGAATCAGAGAGACGAAACATGGGCTCACCACACATGGCTTCTTCAGCTCCAGAGCTAGCTGCGTCTGAATTGCCTCAAGATGCAGCACATCCACCTCCAGCAAAGCGTCTTCGTGGTGCCCAGCTGCTACTACAGCCGCAATATCGCGTAGATGTTATATATATGTCGTGTAGTATCATCTTGAACTGTCATATATATATACTCTTTCCATCGTGGGGTTGCATGTATAATGCAATGTCTGTATAAGCCTTTCCATGTCACAGCATTCGTTTTCTCTTGTCTTGTTAGACTGCTATGCACAATATTTCTGATATCGTCTTATGTGTCCACTGCGTGTTCCTCCATAGACCTCGCACTGTCCTGCCATGGGTTTTATACATTATCCGGTGCATAACTACAATTATTGGATCGTATCAGGTGTTCCATATCCATTAGCTGTACACACGCCGCTATGGTGTACTGCACTATCATACACACATACTTTTCATTTCCAGGTTCCGTGCCTTCTCAGACCTTCACGAACAAGATCCCCCCGGTGGTGAGATTCCCCATCTTCCTGCTGTTGATCCTGTTCCGCCGCCCAAGACGATTCTCGACATTGTGTCAGAGTATAAGTCCTGGAGTGTTGCCACGCATCCTAACGCCTGTCGTCACACTTGCCTCGTCCTGGCCGTCACCAAGTTTCTGTGCGACATGAATGCCACCAACTACATGATGTCCAATGTTCAGAAACTAGTACTCTTCCTCTTGATTGACGGAGACAACTGGCGTGCACATAAGAGACAACTATTCCACCTTTGTGATGGGGCGTGGGACATGGAAGAAAAATTGAGCTTGGAAGCTTGGGACTTCTTGTCAGCCGTCGAGGGCATCTTTGTTTCCATTGCCACAAGCATCGAGAACGATGAAAAGAACATACTCTGGTCGTGGGCAGACGCCAGAAGCTATGTTTACAAAGCCATCGAAGGGTGCAAACGCCGTGGGGAGCTCGTTGACGTCTGTGCTCGTATAGCGAAGGAACATAGTGATCACGTCCGAGTTGTTACTAGCAACAAAACATGGAAGGCGACATGGGCTCGAAGAGTCGCTGATATGCTTGCTTCTTACAGGAAGGCGTGGGAGACTCAGACACACTCCGTGGTTCTATCTCGTCTTTTCTTGCAAGACTGCGACATGCCCATGCCAAAATCCCAAGGTATATGCTTCAGTGACATCTACTTGACTTCCAACTGGGAGATTCGCTCCAAGCATGAGGCACAGGACTGTTACGTACGGTTCGACTACCCTTACTTCTACGAGAATACCCTTGCAGGAGACCCGTCCATCAATCTCCCTATGCTCAAAGAAAGGCTGAGACTCTTCTTGACCTCTCTCTACTACAAGAACGAGCATGCTTTTCAAGCCAAGCTATGCTTTCTTTGTGCTGCCTTCCAAGGCGTCTGTACGGGAAAGATGCTGTTCCAGGTTGGTCGTGGAGGGGATGGTAAAGGCATGGAGGCTATCCTAGATGCAGCTCTCTTTGGTTCGAAGTCTTCGGCTAGTCTGGACTGTGGTGTATTCTTGGACCGAGCGGAGTTCAGAAAAAGTGCCGAACTTGTTTGGAACAAATCGAATGTCAGGATCCAGGAAATGGACTCCAAGGTTCGCTTCATATCCGACATATGGAAACGGTTTGTGGTCGACGAGGAGATCGACTGCAGGGTAAACTATGGTTTCACTACCAAGAGACGCTTTGGTACGTCCATGAAGATCCAGGAACTGAACTATGAGAATGTACCGGTGATTGAGGAAAGCAAGGACATCAACAAGGCGTGCGAGCAACTTCGGAGACGTGTGGTCTGCATTCGCATGGGCACATCGACCTACACGTTGAACCCAAACGAAGTTGACCATGATCGTGGCATTTACCTTCTGATTCCACAAAAGGAATTAGCATCGGATTTACGTCATCCGGTCACTGCGTCGTTGTACCTCCGTGATTGGTGTCTGCCCTTCTTCAGAGAGAACCCGGTTGGGGAGTGTCTGACAATGTTGCATGATCTGAAGTCCATCAGTGACAAGCTGGAGATGGACACTCAGTGGCTTGCTGCAAAGTTGTCCGGTCGTGATCTAGTTCCTCCCGGGGATGATCGCATGCTGGTCGATGCCAATGACGAAATAGTTGAGTTGGTTCATGCCTCGACGCCGACCAGACCCATTCTCAAGGAGTACTTGTTACACAAGATTGATGAGCTCCCAGGCTGTATTACATCAACTCGCGGTCGTACCACGAAGCTTCAGCGGTTCGTGTCTGCAATTGACCATTCCTCCCTCAAGCTCTTCAGACAAGTGGATCATAGTACTTTCGAGAAGCTGCAGATCAACTGGGCGAGGCTAAAGGAGTCGATGGCTCGACATGGCGGGGTTAACATCTTCGGGGATTGGACTCACTGGACATGCCCATTTGACTTGAAGCACATCATCCAAACATGGGACGGGAATGCATTTCAGGACCATAGTACTTTCCTCCTCCAGCACTGCACAGTCAGAGGAGTTGGTGATGCGGTATTGCGATCGGCTGTCACTAGCCTGGACGAGACTGTAGACATTGAGCGACTCAAAGCATATGCACTTCGAGGAGTGGATCGTCGTCAAGAGATGCTTGAAAGGTACATTGCGCGACACGAGACTGCAGGACTCACGTCCAGTGACGGCATGTCCACCGTTACGGTGGAGTACTATACCCAACCAGGGTACGGTCGTCTACTTGCTAGAGGTGCAGCAGGTCAGAAACTCACAAGAGAGGCTAGAGCCGAAGCTTTCTTCCACTGCTCTGAAGTTGACGCTGCTTGTTGCCATCCACGGCTACTGCAACAAAAACTTTTCGACCTCGATGTCTGGTCCGATGGCAAATACACCATCCTAGCACTCTTCATCAAGCATTACCAAGCGTGGCGCTACTGTGTGGCCGACTACATGGACGTCTCTGTGGATCAGGCCAAAACGGAGCTCATTCGCATTTTCTACGGAGGCAAACCCTCCTGCGAAATTCCCTTCCTCATGAAGCTCTGTGCAGAGGTCCAGACTGCTGCTCTCTCCATTGTTCATCATCCAAGCTCAAGAATGTGGCGGGGTCTTTACTCGGATCGAAGGAATCCAGAGTTCTCACGTCTCTCTGGCATTCTGTCAATGGAAGAAGCCAAAATGCTTGAGTCAGTGTCAAGTTTGATGGGACAGGCTATGTGTGTACTGCTGTTTGATGGTGCCTACGTGCAGTGCCGTAATCTACATGATGACATTGCTCTGTGTCATGGGATGGAGACACACGACTCCAGGGTGGGGTTGCAGATCCGTCGGTGGGCTCCTTTGGCTTGCAAGTCCGTTCCTCGTCTTTTGGTCCGTCGAGGTGAAGTGCAGTTCTTTCGGACTGAAGATGTCGCAGACCTAGGAAACTGTTTGCTGACGTCCTTGTACTACATGGAAGATGACCTCGAACTGGAGAGCCTCAGTCAGAGCGATCTGCGTCACGGTATGTCCGCTCGGGATTTCAACTACATGACACTGGGCATTTCGCAAGGCGATGACGGCCAAGCTTATCTGCTGGAATGGCTTCCACACGGCTTCATTCGAGAGGAACTTCCGAATGGAGCATTGCTGGCCTTCCATGAGCCCAATTCATCTGGCACTTCGGGACATTGGTGGGCGGCCAAGATATGTGGTGACACAGAGGTCGCTATCTTCGACTCCCAAGCGCCAGAGTGTCTCCTAGGTGTTGCCTTCACCGTTTTGGAAGACGTTCTTCGTGAGACCCAGACTGCGACTGCTTTCATACTCACCCGTGCTCACACAGTAGAAACTCTGCGCATGCCAGAGTCGTCGGTGTATGACTTGCGTGGAGCCGGCCCAGACGACCCGGATGATCTCGTATCCATCGCGACTCCTCGTGACACTTGCTTAGAATGTGCTTCACCGCTGTATCCTGCACACGACGTCCAAGGCCGACTATACACATTGAATGGCGTGAAGAAGGTCACGGTCACGACCAAGCGTTGCTCTCGCAAAACATGTCGAACACATCACCATTACAACTACAGGAAGGTAGACGGGCAGATGTACCACAGCCTATCTCTTGGGGACATGAAGTACATCTTTGTGAATAGTAAAGTCGGCTTTGATCGCACATTCCTGGACTATCACGAGGCCTTGCAGTTCCGAGGAGGTATCAGCCACAATGCCATTGAGTTCGCTCAGTCACATACTCTCTGGAATGACCCGGAGCAACACTACCGCTGGCACCGTGAATACTCGACTGCGCAGCTGTACTATGCTGTGGTTCAGGAAGCGCATGAGATGTGGTGTGATCCCAGAAGCAACCAATCAGCCAGACTCTTCAACCTGGAGGTAACTCAGCCTCTCTCCGAGGCCTTCCTTTCTGAGTACAAGGATTGGTGGCAGCGTCAACAATTCTCTCCAGCGGAATGGCGCCGTGTCAAGGAGGTCGTTATGGACGGGCACGAGAAGGTCGCAGCAAAGTGCCCAGGCAACACGCCTGCCCGCGTCGGTCGTCCCCGCAAGGATGGCCGCATCAGACAACATGAAAACGGATGGTTCATGGCTATCGATCCCGCCACAGGGCTTGTGATGTCGGCAACCAACATGGCTTCACCAGAGAATAATGACATCGCTAAACAAGTCCTACAGAACATTGTGGAACGTGCTCCCAACCTGGACTGCGTCATCTATGACAAGATGTGCGTATGTCAAAAGGCATTCCTGTCCGACGCGAAATTTCGCCAGGTGAAGTACTGGTGCATTGACCGCTTCCATGCCAGGGCCCATGGTGACACATGTACATGCTCTCCTCTCGTCCATCGGCGCCTGGACCTTCGCCTACGCAATGTCAACTCGTCCATTGCCGAGCAGACCTTCTCCTGGTTTCGCGGCTACGCATCTACCTTCAATGTGAAGAATCCATTGACGCATGTCTTCTATGTCCTACTGTACGTCAAGAAGCATAACCTCTTGATCCGCAAAGACTACCTTCGACACTTGAACCCTTTCAGTGCTCGTGCCAAGGCTGCCAAGAATGCTCGGGTGCTCATCCGTCCAGCTTCGAAGAAGTACATCTGTCGGCGTCCGTCTGCATCTTTGTCCTCCCACAGAGTCTTGAGGAAGCCGTCGAAGAAAGTCATCAAGCATCACATGAAGAAGAAGTGAGACGTACATAGGTACTGTGCGACATGCGTGCCGTGAGGGTTTTCGTACCTTGTCATATAGGCTTACATTGGCTTACATATCATACGATGCTCATCAAATGGTATTCCGGGATATACATGATACACATATGCTTATGAGATGGAAGTACGAGATCACACGGTTGCGCTAGCATGTCACACGGGATACACAGAGGACATCCAAAGTGTCTTCTCACTATAAGTCTGAAAGCACACGCGGGGGCATACAGGAGAAAAAAAAAAAAAACGTGATTCCTCGAGATTCAGTGCAGCATCATGCGTGGGTATAATATGGTATATAGATATGCACGGATATGCTTTGATGACTGAGGTTCAAGCCTCAGCTTCTGCGAGTGGCGACGTCAGATGTTATGATATTGCCGCGCTTAGTTGGGCAGGCTTGTGTTCTTATAACATCCTGTGTATGTTGTTTGTCCACATATACTAAAAATAAGGTAAAATCACGTAAAATACGTGTTTTGGACACGAAAAACACAGGCCTGTATTCCGACGCACTCTCTAGAAAACTATATATATATGTATATGTATATGTATATGTATGTATATGTATATGTATATGTATATGTATATGTATATGTATATGTATATGTATATGTATATGTATATGTATATGTATATGTATATGTATATGTGTATGTATATGTGTATGTATATGTATATGAAATATATATATATATATATATATATATATATATATATATATATATATATGTGTGTGTGTGTGTGTGTGTGTGCGCGTGTATTTTATTGTTATGATGTATGCTGTACACTATATGTACACATATCTATATGTATGTATGTACAACAAAAACCCTGCTTTCATTTTGAGGGCTTTTGGTTCAAGGCTTTGTTTGGGGTTCTATGCCTGCGGGGTCTCTAAGGTCTGGGAGTTGGGGACCTTGGCTTAGGGTTTCCGGTTTACGGATTTTGGGCTCTGGGTTTGAAAGAGGTTAAGCAACGTCTTTAAGGAATCTTCCCCGACCTTTCTCACCGACCTCTGGCAAGGGTTGGGCCAATTTCGTACCCTTCTAGATGCAATAGACCCTTTCCTAGTACAAACCGCTGACATTGAAACGCTAAGAGTTTGGCGTACAGGTCTTGATTTGTCTGTGAAAGCAATGTTGTGCATTCGAATGATTACTGGCAGCGAGGTGGCTCGGCTGAGGCTGGAGGATTTGCGACGTGCAACTGAGACTGACTCCACGTGGCACGTGCGCGATCTTAAGCTCCATCTCCAAGAGCTTTGCGGGCAGCCTCGGTTTCGGCAGCGACTCCTGCAAGAGGATGGGCAGATACTGTCCGATGAGGCGGTTCTGGAACCGCTCCGGCCACGCGTACTGCAGCTAGTCTTGCTGAGCTTTGCCGAGGCTACTGCCGATCATATTGACAAGCTGCTGCAAGCGGTTGAAGACAGAAACGTGGGTAAAATGGAGGCAATTCTGCAGAGACCACAAGACCCGAGCTTAGCTAATCTGCGCAGCGTCGCGCCCCTGCACGGCGCCGCCGCGATTGGGAGCGACATGGCTGTAGCGCTGCTGCTGGAGGCTGCCGCAGACAAGGATCAAGTGACTACAAGTGGAGTCACGCCTCTTCTGCAAGCATCTCTGAATGGCCACCTGAAAGTTGCACATTTGTTGCTTGCAGCCGGAGCGGACAAGGATGCAGCCGACATGAACGGAGCTACGCCTCTTTACGTCGCATCTCAGAACGGCCACTTGGAAGTTGCACGTGTGTTGCTCGAAGCTGGTGTGGACAAGGATGCGGCCACAACGGATGGAGCCACGCCTCTTTGCGTCGCGGCTCAGAACGGCCACTTGCAAGTTGCGCGTTTGTTGCTTGAAGCTGGCGTGCACAAAGATGCAGCCACAACGGATGGAGCCACGCCTCTTCACATCGCATCTCACAACAGTCACTTGGAAGTTGCACGTTTGTTACTTGAAGTGGGAGTGTCCAAGGATGCAGCCGACACGAATGGAGTCACGCCTTTTTTCGTCGCGTCTCTGAACGGCGACTTGGCAGTAGCTCGTTTGTTGATGGAAGCTGGCGTGGACAAGGAGTCAGCCACCATTCGTGGATGCACGCCTCTTATCGTCGCATCTCAGATGGGCCACTCGCAAGTTGTACGTTTGTTGCTTGAAGACGGCGCGAACAAGGATGCAGCAGACACGCTTGGAATGACGCCTCTTTTCGTCGCATCTGAGAACGGCCACTTGGAAGTTGCATGTGTGTTGCTTGAAGCTGGTGTGGACAAAGATGCGGCCACAATTGATGGAGCCACGCCTCTGTTCGTCGCGTCTCAGAACGGCCACTTGGAAGTTGCACGTGTGTTGCTTGAAGCTGGTGTGGACAAAGATGCGGCCACAATTGATGGAGTCACACCTCTTTACGTCGCGTCTCAGAACGGCCACTTGGAAGTTGCACGTTTGCTGCTCGAAGCTGGTGTGGACAAGGATGCAGCCTTCACAAATGGAGCTACGCCTCTTTACATCGCATCTCAGAACGGTCATTTGGAAGTGACAGGTTTGTTGCTCGAAGCTGGCGTGGACAAAGATGCAGCCGGAACGGATGGAGCCACGCCTCTTTTCGTCGCGTCTGTGAACGGCGACTTGGCAGTAGCGCGTTTGTTGATGGAAGCTGGCGTGGACAAGGAGTCAGCCACCATTCGTGGACGCACGCCTCTTTTCGTCGCATCTCAGATGGGCCACTCGCAAGTTGTACGTTTGTTGCTTGAAGATGGCGCGAACAAGGATGCAGCAGACACGAATGGAATGACGCCTCTTTTCGTCGCATCTCAGTTGGGCCACTCGCAAGTTGTACGTTTGTTGCTTGAAGATGGCGCGAAAAAAGATGCAGCAGACACGCTTGGAATGACGCCTCTTTTCGTCGCATCTGAGAACGGCCACTTGCAAGTTGTGCGTGTGTTGCTCGAAGCTGGCGTGGACAAAGATGCGGCCACAATTGATGGAGCCACGCCTCTTTTCGTCGCATCTCAGAATGGCCACGTGGAAGTTGCACGTTTGTTGCTTGCAGCTGGCGCGGACATGGATGCAGCCATCACAACTGGAGCCACGCCTCTTTACATCGCATCTTATTACGGCCACTCGGAAGTGGCGGGTTTGTTGCTCGAGTTTTGTGTGCACGAAAGTGCAGGGTTCACCCGCGGGATGAGTAGGGGTTACAGTACAGGGTTTGTGTAGCACTCTTCCTTGAAGCCCTAGAGCCCCGAAGCCGAATTCCGCTCCTGCCCAAAGCCCAGAAATGAGACCCTGGGTCCCTGAACACGAAAGAAAAACACCCACCAGACCCCCAAAGCCCCGAAGCTCAAGCCATGAAAGGAGAATCCTCACCTGAACCCTCGCAGACCGGAAGTCAGGCTAACGACCCTACACCCGGAGCAGGAAGAATGGAATCCCCGAAGCCCCTCGACCTCTCGAACCCCGAAAGGAAGAGCAGCAAAAAAGCGTACTGAGCTAGAAACTAGAACCCCTAAAGCCCTACAAGCCCTATAAACCCCGAAGGCCCAACAAGACTGTAGATAGACCCAAGAAACCTTATCAACCCTTCAACCCCCCCCCCCAAAAAAAAAAAAAAAAAAAAGAAAAACCTAAACCCGAAACGTGCCCACACAAAGCCCCCGGTGAGGAATGCGGACGACGCGGGCCTGCTGGGCAACCAGGGCCCAGAGGCCCTTTAGTACCATAAACATATGTAGGGTTGAGGGTTGAGGGTTTGGGGTTTGGGGTTTGGGGTTACGGTTAGGTACTGGCACTATATGGTCGTTCAGCTCTCTCTATACAGAGAAGTAAGTACACCTTTGAAGAGATGTGTGTATACGCCGGCATATGCGTCTGTGTGGTATGTGCAGTTGTTTGCTTATGAACGATATATATATATATATATATATATTCTCATATACAATATATATATATATATATATACATATATGTATGTATGTATATATATATATATACACATATATGTGCATACATTATGTGTAGTGTTTTCTTACTATCGCAGAGAGTTTAGGGTTCAGGGTTTCGGGTCGGTTGGGTCTCTTTCGGCAGTTTCAGGGCAGTTCTCTGGCCCTAAACCCTAAACCCTAAACCCTTTCTCTTCCCCTCCTGCAGCCCTCCTGGACCTTCCCCAACCCTTCAAAGGGCTTCCGCAAGCTGCTTGCCGGCAAGTACGGTTCCGTGGCGTGCCCGGCCTGATTGTGTTAGGGTTTAGGGTTTAGGGTTTAGGGTTTAGGGTTTAGGGTTTAGGGTTTAGGGTTTAGGGTTTAGGGTTTCAGGGTGCTTGTTCTAGGTTTCATCGGGGCTGTGGGGGTTTGGGTGTGTAGTGTTCAGGTTAGGGTTGAGCGCTATAGGGCTCTATATAGGGTTTGCAAGGCTCCCAGGACTTCTTGGGTTTACAGGGCTTCCACAGTAGGGTCGTGACAGGTTCGCCGAGAGCCCTTCATTCATCTAGTAAGGCCTGGGCAGGGGGTTAGGGTTTGGGGTTTGGGATTTAGGGTTTAGGGTTTAGGGAGTTTAGGGTTTCGTCCTCAACTCAATGCAGAAAGTCGCAACATGTTGTTTGTCAAAAACGGCCCTGGGCCCACCCCGCGGCAAGCGGCACCGGGAGACCAAACCGCGCACCAGGTCTTTAATGATGTCAACTAGTAGCGAGTCGGCATTTAGTTAGGATTCATGAGAATGAGGTGTCCGACACCCGTTACAGCCCGAAACCTACACCCGTTGCAGCCCAAAACCTGAAATCCCTGCAATCTAGATGTACACCTTGGGATGTTCCCCCTTTTCCTCGCAGTCCTTAACAGGGACTATAACCGGGGGTACTATAATCCCCAGTAAGGACGGTTCGTATAAGAGAGAACATCCCAAAGTTACACCCCCAAAACCTGACCCTAAACCCTAAACCCTAAACCCTAAACCCTAAACCCTAAACCCCAAGCCCTAAACCCTG